CGGGCGAGGTTCCCGACCCGCCGGCGAGCTGCGAGGCGGGGGTGATGGCGTCCGCCCTGAGGGGAGGGCTTAACCAGCTTTGGAGCAGGGTGCCGAGGTGGAAGCTGTGGTTGGTTCAGARGAGGCAGAGGAGGCAGTTGGGGGAACTGCTGCTGATAGTGATACTRAGAGATGTGGTGCAGTACTTGGTGCTGCTGGAGCTGATGCTACTGGAACTACTGCATTTGGGCTTGCATTGCCCGCATGCACTGCATCAAGTCATCAAACTGGTTCTGGCTAGTCACCAGGGGGACAATAGTTGGTTCGGTAAAGGTTGTCTCAACAAGGAGAGGAAGGGGGATGTTCACAGCGGGAAGGTTCACGGGCGCCACTGTTCGTGGCGTAAACTGGTTCTGGCTTGTCGCCAGGGGGACAGCAGTTGGTTTGGTAAAGGTTGTCTCGACAAGGAGAGGAAGGGGGACGTTCACGGTGGGAAGGTTCACGGGCGCCACTGTTCGTGGCGCATTTAGGCTGGGGATCCCATCCACCGAAAGGGATGGTGAACTGTCTGATGTACACCCCGGGGACTTGAAGTTGTTCCCCAGGGACGTTCATCTCCGTGCTACGTCCGACATTGTTGGAAGAAGCCATGAGTGTTGGGGTTTCTTGGAAAACGGGGGTTATGAGAGTTTTAGAGGGAGGCTTTTAGAAGCGTTCCCACAGACGGCGCCAATTGATGGTGTGCTATCCGGCCGATCCTAGCTGTCAACGATCTTGCCTCGGGCTGGAGCAAAAGGTGCCTGAAACGGAGGAGAAAGCGAGTAATCTCCGTGGAAGAACCTGGTGAGAGTGCTCCGAAGCTCAAGTTAGTATTTCCTCAAAGGCAAGATAAAAGACCAGATGGCGCAAAGTTATCACATACCTCTCTTCTTGGGGGGAAGGGGGCCTTTTATAGCCACTTCACGCACTCACTCCCAAGCTCCTGTCAGGTTGGGTATCATTACCTCTACACTTTTGCCAGTTTGGGTGTCATCACCTCTACTGGGGCAGAACCGCCACTGCTCTCTTTGTCGGAGTCGTCTCTGTAACTGGAGGTGGCGGTGGCAGGTGGCCATTGAAGTGCGGCTGTCAAGCGTCTGATCCTAAGTCAGTCAGGTGCGCCGCCTCAAGATACAGACTCCTTTGGTGTCAGGTACGGTATGGTTGTTCAGTTTGGCGACCTGGAGACGAAGTGCTGGAGTGGTGTGCGAGGTGAAGTCTTGAGTTCGGATAGAGGTGTGGCCCAAACTGCCCTGGGGCGGGCCAGTTCAGATTGTTGCCATTTGCGCTTCTCGTAAGGCTCGGGGTCAAAGGGATAGTTCGGGCTCCTTTTGGGGAGCTCGGACCGCTGGTTCCTCCTTTTGGAGCTCACGCTTGGGGCGTACTATCGTGCCAAACTGTTGGTGCGACTCCAATCTTGAATTAGATTCCTAAGGTAAGATGCCAATTACTTGGCTCGATCTCTCTCTCTAACCTGAACAAGCTATTAAATACTTTGCTTCTTAGGGTGGAATAACCACGACTGCTCTTCCCTATTAGGGAGTAAATTACAAACATTTTCTTGTAAATTAAATCCTTGTGGTAATGAGAGGAGTTCTGACCTCATGAAATGTTCTTCACCAACAGAAGCCGAGTAGCTTAGCACCAGGTTTTTAAAACTGAACCGGATAATGAACTATTCAGGGGTCCGGTTCTCGGGTTGAATGGTCCATTCTAACAAAAAAATTAAAAAGTAAAAACGACCAAAAACCATTGTCTGAGTCAATGGCTCGACCACCCGGGTCAATGATTCGCTGACCAAATCAACAGTTTTTAGGCAAAAGATGGTTCTAGGGTGAAATGGGTGACCGGTTCTCCTTTTTCCGGTCCGGTCCGGTTTTGAAAACATTGGCTTAGCAAGATGTTGCCATTTATTATTTGATATTCTGATAATTATTTTATAATAATAACAATGAGTGGTCACCGGTCAGGTGCCAAACTCTAGTCAAGTAGTTTTAGGCCTTGTAGATGAGTGATTGCGATCAGTAGTATTTTGTATTTTAAGCTGTTACTTTTGGTCAAATATGGGAGTAAATTACAACTATTGTCTTCCCAAAACCTGCATGAGTGTGGTGTTCATTTCATGACAGAAATTGATCTGTCTGCAGCATGGAACATTTGACAGCAAGGATGGGCAATATGAATGAATTCACAAGGTAATTTGCATGCCCCTTGCCCAAGTTTTCTGCTAAAATTAATTGCATCCGTACAAATCTGCACCCACTTACTCCTGACCTAGGGCTTGTGAATTTTAGCTAGAGATGGACAGCAGCTGCAGCATATTTTTCTTGTAACTTAGTTGGAGATTTTTTTTTCGTGCTTCTACTTCATTGAATAGATGATCTTTTTCAAGGTAACAGAATTTTCTTTCACCTACTGGAACAAATGGTCACATATACTGATTTTTTTTACATACAGATACAGTGCGACAACACTTCACTGGTTTTTAGAGTTGTTATTTCTTTTTGTATACTAAATTTTGTATTATCTGAGTGCCCTATTTTTTGGTAAATCCAAGAGCGATAAAAAAAAGTGCAATTTACATGATAAACTACTAATCTTGTTCCCATTATTGTATCATGATGCCAGATTTTGAACCTATTTCCTTTTTCAATGCCCAAAATGGCATCGAGCCACACAATGGAGTGCACAGCATTCTTAAGATGCGAAGAGAAATTAAAACAAGTAGACACCCAAAAGCCACCCCTCCTTCGAGTGACCTGAGTTGTATTGAATTTATCATGAGATAAAGACAATCTATGGTTATCAAGATCCAACCCAGGCCTTCCAATATGAATTTAACCAACAGAATTCTTCCCTTCTCTTCTCCAGACAAATTGCAGAAAATCCTCCAAAGCAATGTGGCAACAACAGAAAACGTTGTTGCTGACCATCCTCTGTATGAGACCAACCTCCCTCCTACCACTAGAGCTTCCTTCCGGCACACACATGATATGCACTCACCAGAGAAGGTTGATGAAACTAGAGCATCCAGTCCAGTGTAGTATGGCAAAATGATGGAATCCAAGTAGAGACTAGAGTGCAAGATTCCAGAAACTGCTGACAACTCAAACAAGGCATAAATGATATTCTTGTCAGCTACATTATTAAAAGCAAGAGCAGAAATGTAAACCAATTGAAGGAGTGCAGGTCCCATGCATGAGAGTGGAAATATGGTATTGATGCGGTGGCCCTTGGCAAGGGCCAGGAGGATAAGTGGAAAGGCGATTGGACCAGAAGGCAGCCAATACCTCCTTGATGACTGAATATAACAGGCACCTTTGCCCCTTGAGATTTCCAGAACGGTAAAGACCAGAGTTGATAGATAAGAAAGTGCTGTGAAGCTCAGTACTAAAATGTCTACGATGTATGGATAATTCCCTGGATAAGTGCTGTCACAGAAATAATGGTAAGGACAGTTGATAGGATCTGTTGTTTCTTCCACCTGCCATCTGATACATTTGAAGAATGTTGTGGTGATATTCTCCAAGGACCACTCAAGTTGGACTGCTGAATCTTGTGGATACAATCTTAACATGCCCATAGTTTTCCTGGTTTGGCTTCTTGTTTTGCTGCCTAGCTCCCTTGTTCATATAATTATGTGGAGGTGATGTTGGTATTTGATATGGTGCAGCCTCTTGTCAGTTGGAGAGGTTGTTGCAACTGTAGGTAAGTCGGATTAAGAAAGCCCAACTCATTATTCTTCTACATGTCTAAAAAAGAAAATAAGCATTGCCTAATTTTCCTCCAGTGAAGGGGATGTATCATGTATGCGAAAAGCGTTCCCGTACTGTTGCCTGAGTTATCCTTTTTTTTTCCCACCTTAATCTGTGCATTTGTTGGTTTTAGCAGTAAACACCAAAGTAAAAACCTGTCGAGTTCCATAGATAGCAACCAGCAGTAAAGTTATTCCCTCTGCAGTAAAGGACAAGAGTTGTAGGTATACCTGGTGCATTGAGGAAATGCCCAAGAGAGGCAGCCAACTTTAACTTGGTTTCTAAGGAATTCGGTTTGGTACGGTGAAGTGTAAGATCATGGTAGGCCGTGGGCACAATCAGCAATGGTTGGAGAGGTTGCTTGATGCAGTTAGTCTGCAAATGCAAGTTGGGCTGTTGGGGGAGAGCTGACAAATAGACATGTCGATAGCTGAGGGGTTTTCACTTATTTTGCTCCAGGGACACAACAGGGGGGTAGCCCATCCCTGATCCCCCAAACCCATAACTCTCTACCCCTGGTTCAGGCGGGATCAAGTCTCCGCTACAACCAGCCGGAGACCCTACCAACCAATCAGTTTGGCAAGGGATTTTCACTTTTCAGAGTTGTCTCCGGTGACCAAAGATTTAGCAAATGATCTCAGTCATGCAATCTGTAATCGCTCACCCTTGAGTCCTTGACCCTCCCCATCCAAATTAAATGCTGGGACAATTCACAATTGGGGTAATATGCTGGACTTGCCCTCCTTCCCCGGATTGTCATCATTATAAGGTCTGGCTATAAGGCGGATGGTAAGTTCTCTCTCTCTGGTTGTAGCTTGGGATCAAATCTCGCTGTCACCAGGGTTTGGGGGGAAAGGGGGTTATGGGTATTGTGTAGCCCTATGAAACAAACAAAAAACACTGCAGAAATAAGGTAGCGAGTCTTTCCTCCATCTTTACTATTTATTATGAAAAAGAGATTATTTTTCCTTGTTTTTTGTGAATGGGATGTGCCCAATCCTGCAATTATACATGTATCAAATTGATGCAGGAAGATTTATCGTTTTGGATGCCAACTTGTTTTGCCATTATGAGGAATGGAAGGATGTACAAGTAACCAGATTATCATGCTTAAGTGGTTGTCGGGACTCTGGATTGTGGTGTGGATAAAGCTAGCATTTGGTCATTTGCTTTGTAAACGCAACATCCATATACTGTTTGTTGATATGATGCATTGCAATTTGCATTATTAACTATTTATCGCTGACCAAAAAGGACAATTTCCCGGCCTCCCGGCGTCCAGAAGGTCCTGCGGCAAATGTGCAGACTGCAAACCGTCAGTTGGTTTTGTAATGTAGCACACTCTAAATTGAACTGATCGCTTCACATCATATTTTCATGTCAAAGAATGCTTTAACCCAACCATCCTCTTGAAGAGACCCAAAAAGCCAAGCCCCAACCAGATGGACAAAATTGCTAGGTGTCAAGTGTTTTGAGAGAGCAGATTTACACGCCTCATTTTATTTTAATTTCCGATGGAGGGTCCTATTCTGATTATATGTTTTCCATCTTAAGGGTAATAGATGCAAACAGAAGCTCTCGAAGGCCAAACATGGTGTGACTTATTAAACGGATTACCATACAGCATAACAACACTACAAGCATGATAATATGAAGTTGTTTTATTTCTTTCTATCAACAGAATCAGGGATACAAACAAAGCTCAGTTGGGCTGTTTATGACAAGCACAAGCTGAGAAAAGCATCTCCAATGAACCCATGTATCTCCGATGAGTTGAGAACCAAATAACAGTAAACTAGCTCCTCCATCTCCTCCCAATCACGGACGCCTACATCCCTAATCATCTCAAGTATGGACTCCCTAAAATCCACAAAGGGGTTGACTGAGTACTTCACTGCGCAGATAGAGTCAGCAAAAACCCCACGAACATTGCCAGGCAAGCTTGCTGAGAAGCTAAGATCATGTCTGATGTGCTTCTTCTTTCTCCTCTTGTTGGCTTCCCCAGCGGTACCCATGGCTCCTCCTAACGGAGAAGGAATATTAGAGCTCAAGTTTCACAACTAGGAACCACTCTGTCTGTGTAAGAAACCTATAAAAGCCCTACTATGGCTCCATGCGTTGGGCTGTCTTTAAATGTGAATGGTACACATTTGGTAAACAGTAAACACTAGAGAAAGTGGGTAGTCATGTGGGCTGTTGTGTCCAGGACGCTGGTGCATAAATGTAGTTGTCTACCCGGGTGGTGGGGGTGGGGGGGGACCCGGTAGGAGCCACTGATTCCCTTGTGAATCTTGTGAGGTTGGTTTAGAGTAGAACTCAACCAATCAGTTTTATATTTTCTGTTTTTAGAAGCTAGGTTTGCTACTTATCTGCAATAGTGCTACTGTTTCATTCAACTTCTAACAAAGAATGCTTTAGCTTATTTGAATGCAATGGTCGTCTGCAACAAAAATTTAGGTCTTCCCTTCCTCCCCATCTGGCTTGGACTAAGCAACGGAAACGAGAAATACTAGTAGAGAATAGTTTAGGAGGCATGCTGGGATGTATTAGTATTATTACACTATTACTAATTGCTAAATTCAGAGAAAGGAAAATCAATACATTTCTTATCTTCCACCAAAGAATAGTTTCTGTTGTTGGCCTGTTGGGTTATCCTTCATTAGTAATTATTGCTGAAAGGGGGGTGTCCTCAACCACCTCCTCTGTTTTGTTTATCCTGTCGCCCGTTTTAGTTGAATGGGGTGTGTCCTCAACCACCTTCTCTTCAATGAAGAGACTATCCATTTATCCTGCCTGCGCCTGCGTGGGTGGGTCATGGTTCATGGGTAGGACCCCAATCCCCACCAGTGGGTAGGTAAAAAGATGTCTTCAGACTTGATGATGGGATGGGTCTCATTGCACTACGACATGATTTGATGCTTCTCAGCCCTCACCATTCTAAGTCAGGACAAGTTATGGCTCCTTAATACTAAATTCCGAGCTGTTGAATAAGTTTTTATTTGGATTGGTAAATGTGATATTTCCAAGTTAATCAGATTGTTGAATAGATCAACATAAAAAGTATATTGATATTGAAGGCGGTTAGTTGCTTGGTTGCTTTCCTTTTCCTTGGTCCACATCCACTATTCCACATGGATTGATGATGGCTTTTTTTACTTTTACCCATTCCACGCAGTTGTAGGCATCTGAAGCTTTAGCTGCTTACCCATTTCTGTGAATGTATGACATCAACAGGTTCCCATGTAAAATAGGTGAAAAAAAAGGAAAACTAGTAAAATTTTCTATTAATGTTATTTTATTTACGCTGAGACAAACTGAAACCCAAATGGAAACAATGAATGATGCTCATGCTCCAACTTATTAGTCTAAGGTCTCTAGTTTACCCCCAAAGAGGCAACAAAACCCCTTTACAGCTAGAGCAGACAAAAATCATTTACTATCTACCCGTATACGCCCTTAAGTATCTGTATCACATGAGACATGGGCCGACCTGGGCCAACTTTTTATAAGCCATAAATATCAAGACCCAGTTAAGCCCCTGCTGGGGCTGTCCTATTGAAAAAACAACTTACATTTATTACCATCTTTTGGCCCAATGAAATCCGGTCCACGATGGGTAATGCTTGGGAAGCAGTTCAGTGACTACACATGGGATGGAACTAACACCTTAAGGCCCATTAGTAAATAGGCCAGGCCCAGGCCTAACTCATTAGGCTTAATCAATTTATGATGGTTTTAATTTTTAATATTATAGGGAAGCATTGACTAATATAATGTAGAAGCCACCACTAATGAATGGTGTAACGTTCACGAATATTTGAACTAATCCAATGTGTTCAAAGTGCAATACATGTATACATCAAAGATCTATTACACCAAAAATCAAAACAATTGAATGAATTAACCAACCACAAAATTTAATCAACAAAAAACAAGGATCATATTCTTTGGAAAATAATTCATAGAAAAAAACAATTAAAAAACACTTAAAAGGGATAGGTGTATTTAGATTTGCTCTAAACGAAAATGCAAAATTTTGGAGTCTTCATGATTTCACACTCTTGACAATTTTGGAGTCTTCATGATTTCACACTCTAAACGAAAACACTTAAAAGGGACAGTGGTGTAGGATGTTTTGGCACTTTGACCTTGGTGACCAAGTTCATTACGTGCTTATACAAATTTTCTTCTTTTTAATCAAAAGAATATATAGCGGGTGTATGTATTTATGGAAATAGCAACGCATGATAGAATGATTTTATGCATACACACTCATTTAAATCAGAACATACATTACCCTTCTCCAGAGCCTAGAGCCTAGAAGTGCAAGTTGGGCCGGGTTAGGTTGGGTTGACATCAATCCTAACCAACCCAAGCAGTGGAACCCTCAACCCAACTTTGGGTTTGGGTTGCCAAATGTTCTTATTTCATAAGGTTTGAGTTCAGTTCAGTTTCAACATTGTTATATGGAAAAAATATATAGTTATCGTGTTTTTGAAAAAAAAAAAATTCAAACTTGAAATTGTTGATATACATACATACTGATGTTGTCCAATCTGAGGTGTTCCGAATTGATCTTGCAGTCAGATAGTCCTACCAACTGGATGAAGTCGAGGTGGAAGGACGAAGCCGCACACTGAGATCAACAATCACAGGAAGAGTCATAGGCCTAATGAGTTGTTCCCCGGGTAGGCACTCCGACACTCAAGTTAGTGAGTGGTGAAGAGATCGGTCGAGACAAACCAAATTAAATGCAAGAAGGGTGCTCAATTGAGTGTAGAGTCCAAAGTCCTTTACATCGAATGGGGAATACCTACCTATAGTTGAATATCCGTGTCCTAGTTGGATTGGGTTTTTTTGGGTTGTCGGGATGAGGTTGTCTGCCAAGGTCTTCGGGGGGACCCCCTTGCCTCGATGGAGTTCGCTTCCTTGTTCATGTAGAACACTCCCCCATTGGTCTCGAGATGATGAC